AATTGAATATTTACTTCAATGTATGTGATTATTGACCATCTACGGTTTTCTTGTGCAAATTGATGTAGCATTCAGAGTAGCTTGGTGGACCGGTTGGAGTGGTTAACTGAGGCTCAGCCGACCCGAAGGAGTTCATGCTCGGTTTCAGTGTCTAACCTAGTTAGGGAGCTTGTTGACACAACACGAGGTACTAGTTGGCCTGGTAAGGGTGTTGTGGAGGATGGAGCCTCTTGTAATGGAGTACGCCGAGTGACATCACTACTTGGTGGTCATAGAAGCATAAGTTGAGGTATCAACCTGGTTCAGGTTGGTGGCAGGTTGTAGTGTCCTATTCCTTTATTAAAAGCAAAGTTCAGTTTATTCATGAGCATAAACTCATTTCATTTTGAAGGGTAGCTCGACTAAATCAAATAAGTTTATTAATTTATCATCAAAGTATTATTAGAAAGTGAATAATAAGTCATGATGATTCTAAATTTTAATATTATAAAATAATTAAAAATAAATTATTGAAGAACTTAATCTAATAAAATTAAGTGTAACAATTCAATTCAATTTTTGACATAAAAATTAGCAAATTAAAGTGTGATTATTCCCTCACTAATCCCACATCTTCTAGCCATTTTTCACCCTTGAAAAACCAAGAGAAAAACCGGCCAAAAGTCAAAGAAGTAACCGGCCATTTTAGTAAGTATAAAGCTACAATAATTATCCTCATTTCTAACCCGAAGAGACAAGGAAATCAGTTGTTTCTCCTTTGAATTGAGCTTCAAAATTCGGCTAAACTATCCCCAAGAAGTGAACCCTAGACTTCATTTTAAGTTAAACCATTTAAGAGCATCTCCAACCATCAAAATGAATTCAAGGTTGTGTGGCAAGACTTCCATCCACGTGGAATAAGTCAAAGTTCAATACAATAAAAATGTCTCCAATGGTTATATCTATTTACGCTATCCATTTATTGTTTATTATTAAAACAAAAACTAACAAATCTAAAAACTTTTAACTACCACCGATATTCACTAATCTGTTTCAACAACATACCACTTCTCTGAAAAATAACAAAAGGTGAATTATATGAATTCAACAACCAAAAAAATATAACTCTATTTCATTGTGGTTTTGTATTTCATCTGTTCCAACACCACCATTAACACAGAGTTCGCATTCATCGGGTTATTTTCTTTATATTTCATTATAATTTTTTTATTTAAAATTTTACGTATAAACAATTATTAATCTTTTTAATATCATATTTTTTCCTCATTTTCCTCTAATTTATTAAGTGATTCATGTATAGATTTTTGAGTTGCATAATCAGATTGATTTGCAGAGATCTTAATACTAAATGAGCATTTGATATTATTAATTATTTGGGAAGATAATTTTATGAAAATTAGCGCATGCAGTCTTTACAAAATGAAGATAAAGTTTAAATGTAGTAAGCTAGAATTTTATCATGTACATACATGTGTTGGAAAAATTAGTTATAAAACTTGGGTTTGACCCGGTTTTGACTGAATTTTTTATGGCTAAATATTTAATTTGAGTTGAATTAAATATTGTAGAAAAATTCTACGTTCCGAGTAGATACTC